AATAAATGATCCCGGAACAGGATCCGATTATACATTATTTTTGGACGAACAAGATTATCAACGTGCATTAGTTGGTGAGTAAGTATTCACATTATATGTCTGTCTCAAGGAATAGAGCGAGGAATAGAGGTACCTACCAACATTTCTAGTTTTTCTGATTCTATATTTAATCTAAAAAAAAAAATATGCACAGAACTGGGGTCGTATTTTCGAAACCATGCGAATTCTTTCGCATGCGATCTAATTCGAATGAATAAAGTCGTGTACGAACTAAAATGCGTATTTTTGAAGGCCCTTCGAAAATGATATCGTATACGAGTATCATTTGCGTTAGCAACGTCGCAAATTCGAGTATTGGGTAATGGCCATTTCCACCAATACAAAAACGAAGAGGTAGCTTTTCACATTTGGCTTTTTAAAAATACCATAACACTCCCTACTTTTGCTGTTAACCCATAAACTTTCCAAGATGCTGTCAAACTTAAATGAAAATGTCTGCCAAGCAACTCAAGCAAGAGGCACACAAACCCGTTGTTTACGTGTTATTAAATGGTGTTATGAGTTTTAAATAGTACTAATTGTGAATTATCTTCGTTGTTATATTTAAAACTGTTGTATTTATGTTAGAAATATAAGTATTTAAATAGTGTATGTGAATAGTAGTTCGAGTTCCTCCTGCCGGTCATTTTTTGCTTATCAAAGTTATGTGTTTTGGATAGGCTAATTCTTTTTTGTATTTTGTGTCTGTTTATTGAGTTTATCCATTGAGTTTATCAAGTATTATTTTGTCTATTCTGTTGGTATAAATTTTGCTGAAATGAATTTTGTGCACCTAATCGTTGGGATTTCCTTGAATGTCCTTGTTTTCTATAACGTTAAATAACAATCATGGTTTTTGGAGGGTTTGTGTCTGCTGAACAAAAGAAAGATTTGATTAGCTTCATGGAGGAGCATCTAGAACTAAAAATCAGGAAAATTCAGCTTTCAGGTGCCAAAAAAAAATTAGAAATAATCGGGTCTATTCTGTAACTCAAATCGAATCGACAATCGAAAACTAGATTCGATAACTGTGGAAATTATCGATTTTTGAAAAAATTTGGTATTCTGTAACTTTTTCAGGTATCGACAATCGATAAGAAAAATCGAAATGGATTTCGATTGTCGATGGCTGCTCTCGATCGCATTTGAGTAATCGACAAGGTGAAGTATGGATCCTATAAATAGAGAAAATGAGGTGAAAAAAATGTGGTACTTAATCCATATATACTATATGTATAAGCGTATAACCAAACGAGATATATCAATTGCAGAGGTTACAAAAGGAGAGGCTGGCTGAGAACCTATCCTGGGGTTACTAGTTAAATCTTCTGAATTTTGCCTGTCAGTGACTTTAAGAGAGAAATTTCAAGTGCTTATTGTTTCATATCTGCTATAAGTTGCGTGAGGTCACCAAATTTAGGTTTTTCCCAAGTCGAGGAAGTTGACAGAATTTCTTCTATGAGGATTATAAGGCGACAGACTACCAAAAAGGGAGATCAAATACATCAGATGTTGCATTGGAAATTTTTGCAAAGAAAAGGTGAAAAAGGCGAATAAAAAAAAATCAAGAATATATAAGCGGCTCCGGAAAATTCTAATAGAAAAATGTGGACACGAAGGAAGTAAGAAGGAACAAGAACTGAGACAGTCAGATGACTTCTTCTATCTGGTCAGCTTGCCTTGCCAGTAGTCTTCCTCCACATTTTTTTGACCCAAATTTAGCCAATCATGTACATGTTGAACTGTATTATCAACGTTAAGTACCTGAATAACATTTTCTTTATATTTACTTAGATGACATGGTAGAAATCGACACTTTGTTGGTTGTGGGCTATACAACCATAGATAAATATGAACATAATCAAACTGAATGCAAGCAAGCACACTTGGGTTGATTTCAGTTTTTATTGGAAAATTATGTTGATAAATACAATCCTACACTTTATTTTTTTCCAAGATAGATTTTGACATTGAAAACTTTGAAACATAAACAATAACGCTTGGCCCTGACTGGTCTCAAAATGAGGTGTTTCTGCAGGTTGACATCAGTTTTACAATAGCGACCAATAAGCGGCATTAGCGGCATTGTTTATGTTTCAAAGTTGACAATGCCAAAATCTATCTTGGAAAAAAATAAAGCATAGAATATATCCTCTGGGATTTTTCGTGAACTCGTGCTCGTTAGACACTCTTTTTTTACTTATTGTAGTTCGAAAATCCATTTTAAAACTCAAATTTGTTGACGTTTATTTGATTTGGGGTGGTGACAGTGGTTGTCATTCACAATTTGCGACGTTGCCGGTATCTTCAAATCGATAACTACTTTCTCGATTTGAAGACTTATCGACTGCACTTACAGAATAGGAAATTTGTCAAAATCGATAACGTTTATTTCGATTTCACCGTTCTCGATTGTCTACTAACGTTTTCGATCTCGATTTGATAAAAGTTACAGAATATACTAGATTGGCGCCAAGTAAGTACATCAATCAAAGTTCTTCGAGGGTATCAATAACATTTCTTTATTCGATTAAATAATCCAAGCCAGCCATTCCAAAAACTGTCTTTTAATAAAGCAGGACAATTTAATCCGCAAATTATTTGGAAACGAATGAAAAGTCAAAAGGAGAACGAGCATAGAACACAATTTTCGATTTACACAACGTATTTAGCTAGGTACATAAACAACCGATATAACGTTTAATTAGCACTTCAAAATTCCAAACAATGCGCAGAATCAAGTAAAATCGCATGCAAAATGTGGCATTCGACTGCTGGAGACCCACTCGAGTAAACGTACATGAACCAAATCGTGTACGGACCGTTCGAAAGTGATTCGAAAATACGGAACCTCAATTTTCATGCGAATTTTGCCTTATTTCGTATACGAACGGCATTCGAATGGTTTCGAAAATACGACCCCTGGTTCCTAGTGAAAAGTGTAATTCCAGACCAGATTCCCAAAAATTTGAGTTATTTTATTGATATTTTTGATTAAGAAATTGGTAAGCCAAAAACAGGGTACTTGCACGCCGTGTGCTAATATGGTACTTACTTCACGCTAAATCGTGTGATATACCTAGTTACCGCATGCTTGTAGATAATAATATATTATGATATAAACTGTAAGGGCTTTAAATGCTCTTTCTTATACACGCATATCATACCCTTTTTCTCGAATGCATCATTATCTTAAAAATGTTTTCAATGGAGCAATTCAACAAAAAAAAAAAACAGGGCACACAATTCGTTTGTATCAGAAAAGTGTCACATAATCTAAAAAATATTTTTCCTACGAGCGTGCGCAAAGTAGTACTTTTCCGGGCTCAAAGTTACACTTTTCCGCACTCAGTGCGGATACAGGCCTTATCCGCACTGAGTGCCGAAAAGTAATTATAATTGTCAAGCAAAAATAAGTGCACCTGTCGACTTTGACACATGATGACAAATTTTTCCTCTATTTCTATATCAGCCAACATCTGATGATCAATGACCCCGCACTTACTCGTAACTTGGATGGTCTCGAACATCGCAGATCTGTGGGCGACTTATCTCTCTTCTACAGGTACTATCACGGAAAATGCTCTGAAGAGTTGGCACGTATGATTCCACCGAGAGTAGCACCTACCAGGCGAACCCGTCAAACAGACGGTAACCATGAATTTACTGTCAAACTAGAGGCACCAAGAACCTCATTATATCAGAATTCATATCTCTGGAGAACAGCATCGCTGTGGAATAAACTCCCTGCGACGGTTTTCCCTGCAGGTTACAACCTGAACCGTTTCAAGACCAACATACACCGACATTTCCGCGCACTTGCCGCTTCTCGAGCGTGATAGGACATTGTCCTTGCGAGTGCGCATATCCGTAAAAAAAAAAAAAAAAAAAAAAAAAAAATCTATACAAACACCAATTATAAATTAACTTTGACACATCAAATTTGTTCTCCATTTATATGCAACAATCTACAAACTTTCTCATCAAATTTAAATGCTTTAAGATGAACAGCTCTGACAAGGATTTTCTGTTATTTTTTTTTGTTATGTAATATTTTGATAAATGCTATTTGTTATGTAATATTTTGATAAATGCTAAATTTTTGTTATTACCTACCTGATATGAAGCTCGTAGGAAAAACGTTGTTCCTAACACGTGCGCAAAGTGTCTTTTCCGCACGCAAACCCTCCAGTCACAAATATGGACATTGTTAGCTATATCTTTGGTTTTAACTACTAGCTATTATACCAAACAGCAAATGAAAGCATTCAAGAGTTTGGCAGAGTTGGGTTTGTATTTTATGTATTGAACAAACTACAGCATATTAAAATTTACTGCCAGTCAAATCTCCACGTCTGATTGCATTTAACCAGCGATGTCTTCTGATTTTCGATAATTTATTTTGTTGAACTTTATCGGGATGTTTCCTGTTATTCAGCTCCAATGACCAATGGTAATTTAAAAAATTTCACGATGTTGCGTTCTTCCCTACTACTACATTCCACTACACAACAAAATGCAGGCATTTCACCGATATTTTTTAGCACTTCGCATTTGCCTGCCCTGGCTTTTGACAGACGCCATTTTTTGACAGATCGTTGGAATGCCCTATGTGTTCATTCATTTTGATAAAAGTAATTTAAACGGCAGGTAAATATCTAGTGTTAGAATTTTGCCTATCAAGTCTTTAAACACAGCTGCTATAAGGCTGAATATTGCAAACATGCAAAAATTAAATAAAATAAATAGTACAGCGGTGGCCGCCTCCGGTCGGTGCTTTGATGACTCGGGATTTTTCGGAATGCTGATTCATTCTACGTGTACCGCCCGATGCAAGTGGAGCTGATGCCGCTGCTGTTGCGACTCCGTGAAATTTCAGTTTCAGTGTCCCGTGAAGTTATTATTTATTCAAATTTGTTACATGAGAAGTAGGATCGACACATCCACACTTAGTTACCGTCATGGATGAATCCAGAACGGATACTTCCAATAATAACCTGCTTGCTGAACTTGTTAAGGCACTTAAGTCGTCTCGTACAGCGCCTGAACAAGTCGATTTGCCGATTTTTCGCCCCGATTTATCAGACGCTAAAAAATGGCTAACAGTGATTGAAAACATTAAAAATGAATTCGAATGGTCAGACCAACAAATCATCTTAAGATTTATGAGAGACTTTTCAGAGGCCTTTCCATCTAAGAAAATTTTGGGTGAATTATTTCTTAGAGTAACGCAATTTGATAGTGATCGCTGTAATACTTATGAAGCGTACGTTTTTGAGAAAGTTAATTTACTTAGGAACTTACATGTGCAGTGGGACGAAGCCGATTTCGTAGAAATTACGGTACATGGAATTACGGAAAGTGATGTACGCACAATTTCATATTTAGGATCAGTGCCCAAACGACAGCCGGAGGAATTGAAATCTGAAAGAAAGGCTTCTGAAGTAAAGGAACCTCCTCGTAAACATTTTCGCGATAATCGCGATTATGACCTAAGACGAAAAAGACCACTTACATGTTATAACTGTGGTAAAGACGGTAATATTCAGAAGTTCTGCATTGAAAGGAAAGATACGGATAAACCTAAAATTTTGGCACCTACCAGTTATTCCAAGTCAAGCAACACTACTGCCAACTTAGTGTGCTCATTCTGCGCTAAAAGCGGGCACAATGCCGACAAGTGCTTTATAAAAATGGGTATTGAAAAACGGCAAACTGTAAAGTTTTGTAGTAGCGGTAAACAAATCATTCCATGTGAGATGCTAATAGGCGGAATAAAAATTAATGGAATTGTAGACACTGGTGCTGACGTTTCACTCATGGCTCAGAGACATACTGATAAATTCCAGAATAAAATAGAACCTCACTATACTACAATAAGCGGACTATTGCCTGGTCACTATACTTCAAACCAGTCGCTTGTTACTAACTTCGAGATGTCGGGAGTTGAAACAGAGCTTACCTTTATTGTTGTACCGCATAGCTTTCTAGAGCATGATTTATTAGTGGGGTTTAACTTGTATGATGATCCTGATATAGCAACGATAACAAGCCAAGCTGATACAAAACTTGTTAAAAACAAGGTTGCAAGAGTTTTGAATGCATTATCATCAATGTCGTTGGACTTCGAGGTGGACATGCCAAATGTTCATAGACCTAAATTGCTGGAAGTCCTTTCCCGTTACAATAATATGGTGGCTGCTGATGGAAATGCAGTGTCTTGTGTGAATAATACTACATTGCACATCAAACTTCGTGATGAGTTTGTTGTCAATAGAAGGCCGTACCGCTTGTTATTAAATGAAAGACAAGTAGTTCAAGATATTATCAAGGACCTACTAGCCAACAATATCATCCAAGAAAGCGAATCACCATTCGCGAGTCCCATTATCCTGGCTAAGAAAAAGGAAGGTTCCTACAGAATGTGTGTGGACTATCGCGAGCTTAACCAACATACTATTAAAGACCGGTACCCATTGCCGTTAATAGATGACCAATTAGACCGTCTTGGAAAGGGCAAAGCGTTCACTTCCTTGGACATGTGTTCTGGGTTCCACCAAATTCCCATCGATGCCAAGTCTGTTCATAAAACTGGATTCATCACACCCGACGGACACTTTGAATATTTACGCATGCCATTTGGGTTGGCCAATGCCCCGGCAGTGTTTCAAAGAGCAATAAATAAAGCACTGAGAGATCTTAGAAATACAGTAGCATTGGTATATCTCGACGATGTCTTGATCCCATCTGAAACTTTTGAGGAAAATTTAGTATCTTTGGAATTAGTGTTGCAGGCTCTTAAAAATGCAGGATTCAGCTTAAAAACAAGTTAGAATATTTAGGCAGAGAAATATCTGGGAATGGTATACGTCCTGGAATACAGAAATTGGAAGCGTTAACAAGATCACCTGTACCTACCACTGTTAAACAAGTTCGTGAGTTGATGGGGTTGGCAGGATACTTCCGCAAATTTATTCCCGAGTTTGCTACTCGTACGGCATGTATCACCAAACTGACGGAAGCTAATGAACCATTCTCTTGGAACGAAGAACAAGAAGTTGCCAGGAAGTACATAATAGACCATTTGACAACAAGACCATTACTAAGAATATTTGACCCAGAACTGCCCACGGAATTGCACACAGATGCGAGCAGTATTGGATTCGGGGGTGTGCTGATTCAGAAATCGGATCACTGGTGAATTTATCCTTATGCACCGCGATGATCGAATGTATCAAGGAAAACTTAAATACGAATTCCAGGGGCCCTATGAAATTATGGGTATAACGTCGGAGGGTCGTTATGAAATTAAAAGAGTCGGCAAATCTCTTGTTACAAAGGATGCTAAAGAACAATTGAGGATTTGGCCCAGTGACTGGTCCATGACGATGGATATGGAAGAACTTCTGGAAGATTTAGAAAATGAGTAAGTATCCAGAGGTTGGCCAGTGTTAGAATTTCAGTATAAGTAATTTTAATTTTTGTTTACTAGTAAATGTATTTTATTATGCTTAAAGCTTGGTACGCTTTACATGTATATTTTTATGCTTAAAGCTTGGTACGCTTTGCATGTATATTTTTATGTTTAAAGCTTGGTACGCCTTGCATGTGTTAGGTATAGTTTATGCTTAAAAGCTTGGTACGCTTTGCATGTATTATTATTAATGCTTAAAGCTTGGTACGCTTTGCATGTATATTTTCATGCTTAAAGCTTGGTACGCTCTGCATGTATATTTTTATGCTTAAAGCTTGGTACGCTTTGTATGTAAATTTTTATGCTTAAAGCTTGGTACGCTTTGCATGTATTATAGTTTATTTTTAAAAGCTTGGTACGCTTTGCATGTAATATTGTTTATGCTTGAAGCTTGGTACGCTTTGCATGTATATTTTTATGCTTAAAGCTTGGTATGCTCTGCATGTAAAGTTTATGCTTAAAGGTTGGTAAGCTTCGCATCTTTATTTTCATGCTTTATACTTGTTACGATTTGCATGTTTATTTTTATGCTTCAAACCTGGTAGGCTTTGAATGGTTATTTTCATGCTTAAAGCTTGTAGGCTTTACTTGCATTTTTGATTTAAAAAAAAAAAAAATTATAAAAAAAAATAAAATAGAGAAATTGATGTTGAAATGCTATTTTCAGTGAGGAAGAAGCTGACATGGCAGATGCACGGGATTGTGAAAAACTTGAAGACAGCAAGAAATAATTCCCAAATATGCCAGAGGCCACGAGAATTAAATTTAAAATTCCGTCATTAGTCCATTACGTTGTTTTTTTTTTTGGTTATTAATATTATTCTTAATCGTGTGTCATTAGTCGTTGTTTTTGTCATTTAATATCATTCTTATGCAATTAATTAATTATTGATGTTGTATTACTGTGATTATAAATGTTAAATATTTATTATTGTTATTGGCATATTGTCTAATTGTATATTCACTTCATTAAATACATCACACTTTGTTTTCGTTATGTTGTGTTTAGGATATTGTGGCTTTGATACTTTACAGTCGAAATACGCTTTAATTTGGGATTTAGGAAAACGACTTCATATGCAGGTTGGCCGTGTTAGAATTTTGCCTATCAAGTCTTTAAACACAGCTGCTATAAGGCTGAACATGCAAAAATTAAATAAAATAAATAGTACAGCGGTGGCCGCCTCCGGTCGGTGCTTTGATGACTCGGGATTTTTCGGAATGCTGATTCATTCTACGTGTACCGCCCGATGCAAGTGGAGCTTCTGCCGCTGCTGTTGCGACCCCGTGAACTTTCAGTTTCAGTGTCTCGTGAAGTTATTATTTATTCAAATTTGTTACACTAGGTAATAAAGAGGGATCAAACGTTTGAAAATGAATCGCATCATAAGCATCATTTTATGCAGGCTGCAGGGTGCAATAATGCCAATAATCGTTGATTATGATGCATGCGTAATAAAATAGTTATTTATGCAACAAGTGCGTAAAGTGAACCTTTTTTCACGAATGTGAATTTTGACGCACGAGCCGAAGATTTAGACAAATACTTTACGCACTCTCTATGAATTTTTGAATCTTTTCATGGTAATAAAGATGAAATATTTCTTTCAACTTTGTTGAAACATGCGAAAAAACAATCGGAGATGGATAAGGAACATGAAACGCACATTGAATCAGGGGTAGCACCTTGGTCACAATATCAGTATCAGACCAATATTGAAGATATCGAATCTCAAACAGAATTTTCTTCATTATTGTCTCTTAGAAAAAGCTTTGTTCTTTGGTAAGAACTAATTTAACTTTTGGTTTGAAAATAGTGAATGATAATCTTATAGGAGTAATTTTAGTGATGTAAGGTCTGTTTCTGCATAAATCAGAAACCAGTCAAAGAGCGAATTTCATTGGTTGAAAACAGTCAGAAAACTAGTTTCAACCAATAAAATTCACTCTGACTGGTTTGTGATTTCTGTGCGAACAGACCTAATAGATTGGGAGGGCGTGACAGGTTTTACCTACTGATTTTATCCCGCATGCCTTTTAAAGGTTGATAATTAACCCAGAAACAGTAAGAAAAAATATGATTTTCACCGCCGCTCGAAGCCGCTATATAGGGAAAGTCGAATTTTCATTTGTGAATTTTTTTTTGTGGTTTTTGGTGATCTGTAATTGCATGCCATTTTAAAATAAGGTGAAACTAACGAATTGAAAGTCTTGTAATGAAAGTCATGCGCCCCGCAGTAGCGCAAATCCTTCAAAGAGTCACCCGAAGATGAAAAAAATAATGCTGATTTTTAATGTTTTGAAATTGCATGCCAATGGAAATATTTGATTTTCATCCAAATAACAGCCTAAAAAATAAATGGCATGCGCCGCTCGGTGGGGAAAATCCGGAAAATTAGCGGAAAATCTTGTGAAAATTTTCAGTATACTTTCGGTGATTTCAAACTCGTTCAAACAATGTTGAGTAATGATTTTGTAATGAAATAATTATACAGTGTGTATCAGCCAAATGGAATAAGTTCGATAATAAATAAATGGGGCACTTTTCGAAAAAACGCTCGAACACGTCAATTTTTTTTTTTTGCTTGAGATTTTTCACATCAAAACAGCTGTACCGTTATCAACTTCAATTTTTTTAATGATACCACCTGTATATTATGATATTTCTGGATTCTGCGGAAAATTCTAGACATATTTCATGTACAGGGTGTCCGAATTTGGATGGTTTTAATAGAAAACATCAATTTCTGACCAAGACACAAAAAAATGAACCCCCCACTCCGAGGCTCAAATTTCATGAATTTTTGATTGGTGCAAACCGCATTTTGATATCTTCAACCGTTTAGCCGCTAGAGGGCGATTCTCGATTTTGAGCATAATGTGAAACCATCATAACCGATCATAACTTTTTTGTTTATGAAAATTATTGATTTCCGTAAAAACTTTCTAAAAGCACTTTTTCAAGCAGAATTCAGTGACGTTCTCAGTTTTTTTCTAGTTGGTCCCAACTCCGAGATATTGACCAAAGTCTGGTTTTTTTCAATAGGACACTCTATATATTAATAGCTCGGTTTTGCTGTAAAATCAATCGTTCAGGTTTTACAGTCTGTCAAAGATGCAAAAAAGTCAATTTTCAACTGTCAATATTTCCGAAACAGTTGAAGATAAATATATGACATTGTATATGAAATATGTCTAGAATTTTCCGCAGAATCCATAAATGTCATGATATACAGGGGGTACCATTAAAAAAACTAAAAATGATAACCGTACAGCTGTTTCCGGAACACCCTGTATAAAAGAATTGGTGTGAAAAAATCTCAAGCAAAAAAACAAAATTAACGTGTTCGAGCGTTTTTTCGAAAAGTTTCCCATTTATTTATTATCGAATTTATTTCATTTGGCTGATACACACTGTATAGCCTGAAAGGCATGCATCCAGCTTTGGAGCATCGTATTGTAAACAATAATCAAAGTTGTAAAAAATAATACAAATAAATAATGATTTCTTTTTGCATGCCACTTGGTAATTTATTGAAAAATGTCATTTAAAGTCCAAAAAAAATGGCATGTATGTATCGCCAGTGCAAGTATAGTTTTTGTAGGTTTCATGTAAAAAAAAGCTGACGTTTGTGTTTCGACATTTGTGTTAAAAGGTGTACTTACTGATGCTGTGCTCACTGCCTAGTGCCTATTATTAATATCGGTAAGTATAAAATATTGGTATTTTGCTATGGGATATCGTTATAGGATAGGTTATGCTAATGTCCTTTGTAGAAACTACGGTACGTATGAATTTTGGCTCGATAAGATTCGAATAGCTTTACAAAAAATTAAACATTTTGGACTTATAAATAAAAAAATAGAACGATTCAATAATAGGGTAGTGGACAATTTTTTGAAATATTTTTTTTATTAATCTTCATAACAAAATAAACAGTAGTTGATGGTTCTTTGAAAAAAAATTGTGGATTAATTTTACGAACTTTGTGGAAACATGCCGGAAGCATTGGAGGAAGTAAGGAAGTGTTTCCTATGTTTGAAAGAGACACTATCAATTCTACCTTTCAACGAAGAAACACTGTCTCCATGCCTCAAAACGTTGAAGCAGCGCAAGTTACATGGTTTGAAGTATGCAGATATACAACTTCCAGAGGAAGTGCAAGCGAACCTGGGATACCACTCGAAGTGCAGGGATAATTTCAATGCTTTAAAAGCTAAGTTTAAGGCGAACGATTTGGAGGAGCCTGTGTCAAGTATTGAGTAAGTTTACAAGAATGAATAAAAGCTATGCATGGGTATTAGTAGCAATTACATCATGATAAAAATTACCATTTATCTTTATTATAAATAATCGCTAAACGATTGTTATTTGGAGCAGTGCTATGTCAGACGATAACATAAACAACTCTATAAATATTGTTGAAGAAGAATTTGTGAGTTTATCAAATATGGTCCATGTAGAAGATGATACAGATGAGAATTTGGAAGAACCGGAAAAAAACCCGAATGACGAGGGGTCTTCGACAAGGTTACCATGCGTGTTTTGTAATAAATCCTATTTCAAAAAAGTTAAACGGCGAAGTGAAGATGTAAGTAAAAGTTTGCAGTACACCAAATGGGGAGAATTACTACAGCAAGCGATTAATTGGGAAGACTTCGAAAGAGTGGCACTAATTATATCATATATGGAAAAAAACGCTGCAATCCCATGTCATAAGACTTCAGTATAATAATGCTTTTGTAAAAAAAAATGTATAAAGCAGCAGGCGTTTGGCATAAAACCAGAGATTGCTACCGAGCAGCCTATGCTGTTGCCTGTAATTTCATAAAACAGCATGTAATTAAAAATAAAAAATACTGCACCCTCAATTTTGCTACTGGACTTTTTAAAGAGGCTCTTTTGGATTAATATGATAAATTAAAGGGCAGGGCAGCTTATTGGGGCAAGGGCCCGCGGTCTCAGCTTTGAAACCTCTCAAGTTCTGCATTGAACATAGGCACTGATAATGCGTCAAATTAAAGGTGTCAAAATTGATTAAAGGTATATTCGCATAGAAATCACAAACCAGTCAGAGCAAATTTCATTGGTTGGAAACTAGTTTCAACCAATGAAATTCACTCCTTCTGGTTTGGGATTTCTGTGCGAAGAGACCTTAAATCAACTTCGACACCTTTAATTTGACACATCATTCAGGGCAAAAGTTGATAGGTGTCAAAGCTGAGACCGCGGGCCTTTGCCTCAATAAGCTGCCTTGCCACCTTTTTCCGGCAAGTTCTCACGAGGCTGGATCGACTTTGTGGATAGAGGCCATCGAGACCTTTAACCTGATACCCTACTTAGGGCATAACTCGATGGGGGTAGTGTTTCGTTTTTTTCAATTTGTTAAAAGATATTTCCGGCAGCATTTGCTCTCAGGCAGGAATACCGGTTAATAGATGCACATAATACTATATATTGATAATGATAATAGTGTCGACACATAACTCGATCGGGGTAGGAAAAATGCGGTCGACTCCCTAACTAAGTGGAAATGTTCACTTTTACAGTTTTCCTAGTCGACCCCATCATCAAGAAAGACGTAAAAATGGATTAAAGCTGTCGAAAGAAAAATGTAAGTTCCTATACTTACTTCAACCAACATTAACCTTCACACCTATTTATAGGAACTATACACTGAGTTTTCATACTGATTTGGTTACTTTACTCTTTATCGTTTTAAGATCCAAAAAGTAGTAAAATTTAGGAGTCAGAAAGACAGTCGAGGATTTGTAGCGTCCATTTTATTGTTATACCTACCTGTAGCTCAACAGCATAAGGAGAGCTGTTTATGGAGGTTTGGCACATAACATGCCCTTTCAAAATGAATAAGTCCTCCCCAACTTTTCGTTCAACTACTTGCAATACATGTTCAGCTTTCACTAGAGCCACACTTCTTTTGTATGCAGCTTCGTGGTGATTAAATTTTATATTTTGGAAACCAAAATGTATTTCCAGCTCCGTTTTTCGAAATTCTAGTTAAAATTTGAAAACTATTAATACATAAACTTTTGACATCTCTCACTAGGGGTCGCGGATTTAAATATGTGACCGGTCCCTATACTAAAGTGCTTTTTTCTGAAAGTCCATTTGCAGTTGCAATTGTCACTCCGATTATGGCGAGAGCGCATGCAGCACAATTTTCCAATGAGGTGTGCTTTGTAGACAGTACATCTAGTTGTGATGCCGAACAACATTCTGTAACATTTATTATGGCTCCATGTTCAGCTGGAGCAGTTCCCTTAGGTATGATTATTACCAAAGGACAGACTTTTGAAGCATATTCTAAAGGTTTCCAACTCTTACAGGATATAGTCGCAAATTCATTTCAGCCTAAAAAATTTTTAACTGACAATTCAGAAGCAGAAATTTTAGCAATCAATTCTGTGTTTTCCAATAGCGTAACGTTACTTTGTATCTTCCATGTCCTCCAAGCAGTTTGGAGATGGTTATGGAATTCTAAAAATGGCATTGCTAAAGAAGATCGTTAGCAGTTAATTGAAAGTTTGCATAATATGTTATATTCTAGAACACCTACTGCTGCTGAAGAAGCTTTTTTCAAGTGCATTTCCGCAAAGTATGAAAACTGGGTGAAATATGTTCAAAGTTATTGGAACTTTAAGGTAAAGTGGTGTTTAGCATGGCGGTATGAAGATTCAAAAGAGCATTATACAAATAATTTTTGTGACGTTGCAATCAGGCTTTTTAAAGATAACGTTTTATGGAGTTAAAGCATACAATGTTGTTGCTTTAATTGACGTTGTAGCTACAGTACTTGAAGAATTTTATAAGCGAAAACTGCGAGAATTTGCTAATAGTCGATCTTCAACTGCTAGATGCCTTCTCCTTAATATGTTAAAGAAAACTAATTAGGTATTTGGAAAAAACTGATATAATTTATATTGATGAGAATAATTATATAGTCCCCAGTGAAAAAAATAACAGTGAGAACTATGTGATAAATGTCGAAAATGGGTGTTGTTCCTGTTTTCAGGGTCTTAAGGGAAAATTTTGCAAGCACCAATGCGCATTGTACAAATTTTTTGAAATCAAAACGCACTACTTTCCTCCGATAAGTACTGAAGACAGGTATAATATTGCTAAACTAGATCTTGGAAATGAGGTGCCCCCAATTAGTTTTTATGAACCATTTTTACAAAACAATAACTCTATAAGTAGGGATTCACTATCAAATAACTGTTTTACTTGCAATAATGAGAATAGCTCCTTTGGGGAAAACTCGCCAGTAGTTTCAGGAATCGTACCAGAAGTGGAAGCAGCCCAAACCAATGAGAGTGTTTCTGTTACAATTGAAAACATTTGTAGCCGATTAAAAACATGTCATGAGTCATTTGGATCTTCTTCTAGTGAGCTAAACATATTTATAAACAGGTTAAATTCAATAAAAAGTGAAGGGCAATGGGAAACATTCATCCATACAGCAGGTAACGTTGTGCCACTTAGAAGAAGAAGAAATGCTACAATTAAAGTTCAGCCTACATCTATATGCCGAAGAGCAGCAGGAGTTACCAGAGGAAGTAAAAGATTGCCGTCTGGAAAAAATTTCAAAAATGAAAAACTAAAAGCTAAACGCCAACGAAACTTAAGTTTAAATATAAATTTGAATAAGCCCAATGCTACTTCACACGGGTTTAATCATTAGATTTATCAATATTCAGTATTATTCAGTAAAACCCTAATGTTTCAATAGTTTGTAAAATTTATAGAACGAAAAGGATATACCTACCTTGTATTTTTTATTTTATGAAAGTTTGATAAGATTATTATGATCATTGAAACTTTCTGGAAAAACAAGAAAAAACGGGTCGCTTTATTTTTAGTTTGACACATTTTTTCGGCCTTTTCATGGAATTTACCCCTCTTCTAAGGGTAGAAACCACCCCCAACTTTTTTTTTCAAATGTGAAGATATGTATTGTGATAGCTCGTTGGAATAGGAATAAAAAAAGGAAAATGACTCATTATTTACTTTTGCATTTCGGTGATCTAGAAAGCGAGAAAAAAATAAAAACATATTTTTCCACACAATTTTTTTACAGTTAAAATTGTTGAATACCTTCAGCATTTTTTCTTGGTAGAACCCCACGGCCCACTACTAAACAAATGGCCCTGGCACTGGATGTACCACGTGACCATAAAAGGCCGATATTTTCAAACAGGTGATTGTAAGAACCAGCTGATTTACACACATGAGGGTGCCGTTTTGTTGTTAGTTATCCGTTTTTGTCCAAATATTTGCTTGTTTTTAACTATATATAACTATATTTTAAATTTTATTCGTGTCGAAAAGGTGTGTTTGAACGTGTTTAAAGTTAACAAACTCAAAATAACTTGGTAAACACAAAATTCTGATTTGTTGAATCTATTCCTAACCTGAAAACTGATAATATATTAGGCATTCCAGGTCACGTGACTTTGACAAGGTCCGCCATATTAGCTGAGGGGCAACCAAAGCCTATAGATCATATTGTTTACAGTGTTTTTTGAGTTTGTGCTTCGGAATTTTTGCGTTTTTTTGATTTGTTCAATAAATTTTAAGTTGTTTTTAGTTTTTGTGAATGAATAGAATGAATGAATTAATCTTTTTTTACAGACATGCCACTTTATATTTCAATTCAACAATAGTAAATAAACAATCTATTAACAAAAATAATGCTTAAGAATCTAAATTGTTTAAAAAATAGAAAAGAAAAAAACAACCTTACAATTAAACTTAAGCAAAATAAATTTGTGGAAGAATGACTCCTCAAAGGTTTTGACTGTTCTGATCGGTGCACAGATCTGGCATGTAGCTAACTGGCTTGTTCATTCTGGGCTTTTATCAATTTTCGTAGTAGGTATATCCTAAATTTGTACTGGGGACCCAATCCGGATTGTTTGTATCCGCAAATTCTGCTGGACTACCTAAAAGGTATTAAAAGATACCTACTTGTAGAAACATAAACAAATTTTTTGATATAGGTACCTAGATGATGTGTTTTTGTATTTTAACAACAAGACAGTCATAAAACTAACCATTAACAAAATGTTTCGAACAAATTCGAGCATTTTCAACAACGTTTCAGTCAAATCTCCCCTTTTGACGCATATAATCCACATACTTTGTTGTTTTTTTGATGACTCGTTTATGCGATCCTCTCGATCTTTAAATGCTGCTGGAATCCAAAAAGCCTCACTTTATCCCTTTCAGCTCTAATGAAGCACCCAAAAACATTACAAAACGAAGGCATCTTCACAAAATAATAGTTAAAAAATTCTCGGTTTGCATTGAAAATAACACTAAATCAGGTTATATTTGGCTTGTGTCTGCCCCTCAGCTAAAATGGCGGATCGATTATGACGTCAACCTGGAATGCCTAATTGCTGAAATTTTATGCCTACTAAGTGCAGTGACTCCGGTTGTAAGTCCAATTAAAATCAGAAAAAGGTGTGAAACAAATAACCAGGTACTTCTTGTTTGCCGAAGAATGATGAATTAAAACGAGAGTGGCTGTGAAATATTCCTACCATGTTCCTACCGAACTAGGTTCAT